TCCAACATATAGAAATCCAACGTATAGAATTCCAACGTATAGATTTCCAACGTATAGAAATCCAACGTATAACAACAAGGCGTATTTTCCGGGAGAGTTTTTTTTTATATTTTTAAGAAATTAAACGTTTTTGTAAAACATTGTAGCTTATCATTATCATTATTTCAATTTTTTAACACCCTAGACACTATATACAACTAATTAGATTATTATGTACATTTGGACTGCTCTCTATTGTGTTTAAGCTACCCCCAGATTTTATTATGTACTGACAACAACAATGAATGATTATATGGTTACATAACATTGCATGTTACTATTAAAAAAAAAACTATTTTATGAAAATAATATGTGCAGTTTTATTTTTACAAAAGAAAATTCTCAGAAATATAATAAAGTTCTCCAGTAATGGTAATATTATTTCATAAAATTCCGTATTATCATTTAAATTAAAGGATTTTATGAAAATTATATCTACCTAACACTGATTATTTAATTTCTTAAAAATATAAAAAATGTTCTCCCGGACAATATGCCTTGTTGCTATACCTTAGTGATTTCTATATGTTTGACGCCAGTTTTCATTTTACGCATAAATTAAAAAAAAGAAATTTATTTATTTAAGCATTAAACATTCTCAATATCTCTTCATTAGGAGGAGTTAAGATTTCTATTTACGTAAAATTTACTTTAGTTTAACGTGATTTAGGTAATTTTCCCCTAAATTTTCCTTTTAGTATTCACAGTGATGAAAATTTACTTTAGTTTAACGTGATTTAGGTAATTTTTCCCTAAATTTTCCTTATAGTATTCACTGTGATGAAAATTTACTAATGAATATCATCTCTCGAGGTGAGGGGGGGGGGTGATGTTAAGACACTTGAAGGTTAATGATCATTTATTTTTCCTTAACTTCGTTGAACAGCACAGAGTATTTTTAATGGTGTTGGGTCATTTTAATTTTAACATTTTAAAATCGTCAAAACCTTATTGTTAGCTAAAAATCTTAAAGAACAGGAGGCGTAATTTAAAAAGAACCACCAACAAAATTCACAACAGTACTCTTGAAACCTTTATCTGGTCAATAATGTCGTTTTTCTAGGTTTAAATGTGCTAAATTCTATATTTTCTAGGTTTAAACGTGCTAAATTCTATATTTTTTAGGTTTAAACGTGCTAAATTTTATATTTTCTAGGTTTAAACTTGCTGAATTCTATATTTTCTAGGTTTAAACTTGCTGAATTCTATATTTTCCAGGTTTAAACTTGCTGAATTCTATATTTTCTAGGTTTAAACTTTCCTACAGTAGAAATGTACAAGTCAATTTTGTATAGAAACCCCAATTGAAAATAATCAGTCTTTAAAATTATAAACTTTGATATCTTGTACAAACTGTACAAGTGCATTGCCATGCATTGCGTTAGTGATAAATGATTCTGTCTTTAAGGTTGCTAAAATGTGAAAATAATGGCTTAAAAATGTATCAAAGGAATATTATTTTTTCATTGTATTATTATTATTATGATTACTACCTTTATTATTTTTATTTTTATTATTATNTGAACGCAATCTGAAGGAAAGCTTGAATTTTGAAGGAAATTTGACAGATTTCACGCCGGTATATCAGAACCCAAGATAAACTCCACCAAATGAAATGTTATTTTTTAATTTAAAATTTGCTTCCTCAAATTTAGAATTACATGACCGATAAACAACATTGTATAAGTAAAAATAATAATTGATATCGGCGTTTTTTCAGCTTAAAAATGATAATTTTTGTCAGCTTTCTTCCTTTCTTTGCACTGCTTAGATTTGTATATTAATTTCCATAGATTCTGTATTTAAAAATTATTATTTCCAACTTGGATAATGGATATCTCCATCTTTATTGTTTAAATTAGTTGAAATCACTTAATACTTTAACGGTTCCTTTAATATGATTATATATTAATAATAATAAGGCTGTTCGCTGACATATACATACTTTGCTTGTCTATTTGTTTGTAACCGATAAAAGTCAAAACGGCTGAACCGATCGGGCCCACTTTTTTTGTGGGACCTCATATGATACCAGGGAAGGTTTATTGATGGTTAGAATTTAAGAATATGCCGCAAAAGAATTTTGATTTTTCAATATACACGGTAAAACGATAACAGTGCAACAACCAAAAGTAAAAGATGGGCGCATATTTTAATGTGTTTTGATTAAATTTCACGGGCAACGCTAGCTAAAATAGATATCAAGATGGACAAAATGTACATAAAAAGTAATCTCTGTTGTTTATTTGTTTGTAAGTCTGATCAAAACTTAGAAACCCCAAGACCGATTTGCCTTCACTTTTGGTTGAGCAACTCATGTAGAACTTGGTTTCAAAGCTCTAAGTTGAGTGGGTTGACTTGTATTATTTAGAAAACTTCGTTTTCAGGTACCGCCGGGTTCCATTTTCCAACGCTAGTTATGAATATGATTTAAATTTTTGAAGCTTAAATTAAATATTTTTTAAGGTTTTGTTGTCAGTTTTGTATCATCTCACCATCAACCATGATCATGATATCTCACAAGCGAGTGGAAGGTTGGAAAACAGTTTTAAAGTTAGAATAGTAATTTAATCTGTATAATAAAGTTCTTCGATATATGCTCGCCAAACGGCTGGACCAAATAAGCAGATTTTTTTGAGGAACCCATGGATACCCTGAGGGTTGACATAGGCTAAACTATAGAGCTTGGTAATTTAAAGAGGAGGCGTTGGGATTTACACGCAAAGCATATCTCTCACCCCCCCAAAAAAAAATTTTTACGTAATTTGTCGTTTGAAATCCATAACTTTAATATCTGTGTGGATGAACTTTATCTTAAAATACAGGGTGTCCCACGAAACATGACAGTATGCAGGACGACTTGAATGTCGTCTTGATTTTTGATATAATTTGCTGCGTTTATTTGTCAACCTAATTTTAGAAGTAAAATTCTAGAGATAATAATCACAAAATTTCCCTTATCCTGCCATTTCCAAAATGTGGTCTGCCTTTTAAAAATAATCATAAAAACGAAATGTTCAGAAACTTTCAACTCGGTTTGAAATTTCTAATGAATATTTGTGAGAGCTAAGAAGGTGTGACTGACATTCGGTTTCATTTCTAAAGAATTTTGATTAAAATCGTAAAAAATCCCTTTTAGGAGGCAATACCTGGTTGCTAGTATACTGGGTTCTGTAAAGCAAAGACTGGTTTCTATAATCACATCAACACTAAATCAGGTAAAATAAAATTAAAATATTTTTTTTAAATTAATCATATTTTTGCATTAATATTTCAAACTATTTTGGACTATTTGTGCTAAGAGAATAGTTTGAAATATCAAAGGTCTATGACATTCATGACATATATGGTTTCCAAAACATACGGTGGAAAAACACAAAGTTCAACAATCTCTTCTTGGCGTTGCATACCGTGATCAAGAAGTACTGCACTCTAGGATGCCGAGTCCATTAGCGCCTGATCCAATTAGGGTTTAGTCATGTGTTTGGTGTCTATTCTTAACCAATAGAAATTGTATGGCAGTAACATCTATCTTTCTATCTATCTCATTATCCAATTAGAGATAAATCCTTTGATCGGCGTTAAACGGTAAATAAAAATATTTACTTCTACTGAAACTATAGTGACTGACATTAACATGTTATAGGGTGATGGTCAAATAAAAGTATAGTTAGTCTTAATTTCAGAACCATATTCTCACAACAGAAAAATGTAGATTTTTATAACTATTTAATACTACTTAGAGGGGCTATGTATCTTCAAAAAGTATCCGCAAAAAACTGTTTTAATTAAGCGCCGGCTTAAATCTTAAAACAATGAATAAAATTTTAAGTGGAATCAATGATATTTAAGCCGCGTCTCAAATTTAAGCCACGGCTTAAATTCTTTATTTTCTACCTAAGGTCTCTATTTTTGACAGATTTTGAATGAGAGATCATAATATTCCAGACAGACAGTATTTACTGCCTTGAGGATAGTTTCACGTGTGCAGCAGCTGATTACAACTTTGTTGTTTCAGGATTTAAATCTGACTTGTAAACTACTGGACTATACTCTAGATTCAAGTATTAGTCAGCTTGATCTATGCACCAGGTAAACATTTTTTACATAAAAAAGTCAAAAAAATTTTACATTTTAATGTCGAAAAAACCTTCCCGGTGGTCACAGTTTTGTACAGTTTTTTTTTATATATTTATCATCTATGTAGTAAAACAAGACATTATATATATGTTCCCTATAGCCGGCCAAACGGCTGGAGCGAATGGGCTGACATTTTTTGTGGACACTCATGGGTAGCCTTCGGGTGTTATAAGCAATTTTTTTCTACGGGCAACGCCGGGCCCTTCAGTTAGTTTTATTTAATATTCCAAAACATTAAAAAGTGTTAAAAAATAATTTCCGACTTTTTTAGGAATTTTAGTTCATTTTCCTTCCCCGTGGAACAGGTTCAAACTGTTTACAGGTAAACAAAACTGATTTTTAAATTCTTCTCAAAAATCCTTAAATCTTTGTAACAATATGATTATATAATTATATCTTTGTAACAATATGATTATATAACTATATCTTTGTCGTAAATCTTAGATATTTCAAATTATAAATTCTGTTAGATTAAATACTCTGAGTTTAAATTATCAAAGGTTTACATCATCATGTTGCAAAGATATAGGGATCAGAAAATTTGAGTTTGTGGCAAAGACGACTCAATTTATTTTTTAAACATTTCAACAGTTAAATTTTTTTTAAATTTTGATGTATTCTCAGCCTGAAATGGACTTTTTTGAAGAACCACAAGCAGAAACGTAACAATCATCTCATTGGAAACTTTTAACTTATTTATCTAATTATCGTTTTTTACGCTAAAAATTGTTTGAAGATAAATTTTGTCAACGTTGGTAAATTATTTAACAAAAACACCTGTCTTACAATTGACTTATTGTGTCAAAAAGGTTTTGCGCCATAATTTTTTATTCAAAACTTTGTAGAACATCAGAAACTATTGTTTTTCTAAACTTAATGTTCAAGTTACATTTATTTTTTAAATTTTTAGAATTTAAATATTTTTAAAGATTAGTTTTGTCCACAGAGTCCACGTTATAACTATTTGCTAAGAAATTGTCCCTCATGAGTTAATATTTTAGGAGTTTACTAAGAAATTGTCCCTCATGATTTGATATTTAGGGGTTTGCTAAGAAATTGTCCCTCATGATTTGATATTTTAGGGGTTTGCTAAGAAATTGTCCCTCATGAGTTAATATTTTAGGAGTTTACTAAGAAATTGTCCCTCGTGATTTGATATTTTAGGAGTTTGTAAAGAAATTATTCTTTTTGAATTAACCTTTTACTTTTTTGTTAAGAAATTATAATACTTGAGTTAACCTCTTAGTAGTTTTTTAAGAAATTGTTACTCATGAGTTGATAACTCAGAAGTTTGTTAAAAAATTGTTCTTCTTGAGTTAAAGTTTTAGTAGTTTTAAAAAAATAATCCTTTCAATACTTTTGATCAAATTACATCAATGATTTTTCAAACAAAAGAAAGTTCGTGTTTTAAAAGAGAAATTAACATCTTAAACGCATTAAAAAGTTCTTTGTTCTGTTTAGAGACGAGGATGAAGAAAAAGAGGAAAAGGAGATAATTAATTGGTATACAGGTGCTGTCAAGAGGAAAGAGGAAACTGTGAGCAAGGTAAAATACTAATACAGGGTTACCCACAAAGAATGAGATTACTAATACAAGGTTACTCACAAAGAATGAGATTATTAAAACTGGGTTACTCCACAAAGAATGAGATTACTAATACAGGGTTACCCACAAAGAATGAGATTATTAATACAGGGTTACCCACACAGAATGAGATTATTAATACAGGGTTACCCACACAGAATGAGATTATTAATACAGGGTTACCCACAAAGAATGAGATTATTAGTACAAGGATACCCATAAAAAATGAGATTATTAATACAGGGTTACCCACAAAGAATGAGATTACCAAAACAGGGTTACCCACACAGAATGCGACTTTAGAGCCGACTGTATGGTATTTTCATAATCCTTTACTCAGGGTACTTTGTACCCATCTTATTTATAATTTATTATTCTGATTTTAAAAGTTTTTTCCGATTTGGCTGTACAATATAAAAAATTCTGTGCGAGTTGACATTTTCAAAATACTGGTTGGACAGAAAATGATTAAATGATTTCAAGACGTAATGTTCTGTGCAGTTGTTCATTTAAACTTTATATTTGTCTAACTTTACATCATTTAATGCCATCCAAACGTGTCACAGTTCCTCTTTAGGTTGTTTTCCATTTTTTGTTATTTTAGTGTTTTATTTATGACAACTTTCTTCTTATGTTCTTAACAATAATTTGACTTTTTGAGAGCGCTCGATTAGGTTTCCAAAATTGGCCGAGGAGGGAAAAAAATTTTAAGATTTGATTTCTTAATTATTGAAAACTCTGGTTTAATTGAAGTACTGTAACAACTTGTAGGCAGCTAAATACAAGCTAAGGACAACAGAAAAAGAACAAATAAATCCTAAAGAGATAAATGTTTACAAATTGTCAGGTTCTAGTTTACAATAGCTACTTCTACCCTACACTGGAGCGTATGAAGAAATTGCGGCATGTTGTACTGCACGGGGTCTGTGATAACCAAACCCTTTCTATTATGGGGCAAAACTGTAACGTACTGCAGTTTCTAGATTTAACAGGTACACACATTTTCTGCTTTAGAATTAAAAATTTAGTAGATTTAATTTTTCTTATACTCACAAAACAAAATGAAAGGACAGATCCAGAAAAATGTTTCTGCTCAAATTAACTTAGATTTGAAAAATGACAAAATTAATCCAAAAAGACACTTGTTAATTCTTTAAATTTTCGTTTGATAAGTTTGATAAGCCACGCATGATGAAACTATTTTAACCATTTCTATTTTTTTCTCAGTTTTTCAAAAATTTCTTTGAAATAATGTTTGATAAAGGTGTGATAGATTCTATTCCGTCAAACTTTAACTGATGTTCTATACCTTACCAATCCAAACTGGGAATTTTTCTTATAAATACTCCCTCGATATCCACTGTGGGCATTTTTAGTTTGAAATCGAATGAAGAATAAATTAATTAATTTGCAGATTACAAAAGATCAAAATTTAGCATTCATCTCGATGTTAACAATACAAAAGTTCCCAGCTGAGAAGTGAACATCTAGTCAAGAGGAAGGACTTGTCATGTTCCCAGCTGAGAAGCGTACATCTAGTCAAGGGGAAGGACTTGTCATGTTCCCAACTGAGAAGTGTACATCTAGTCAAGGGGGAGGACTTTTCATGTTCGTGCTGCAAAATCTATTTAAAGGTCAAAAAGTCTTTGGTCCTTTTTAAAACATGATATTTCCAGGTTCTGCTGATGTGACTGATGTTGGAATTCAAAACCTTGTATTTCCTCTGTCTGTTCAGAAGGCTGGCAGGGTCAACCTAGTTAACACGAGGTAGAAGAGTAAATATGGCCGCAATATCTTAAATATCGGGAATATATTAAGATTGTCATATATAACGAGTAATTTAGAATTTAGACATAAAATTTTAAATTTAACCTGAAACATTACGGGATGGATTGAAAACAAAATTTACCACTTAAAAGGACAAACTAAAATTTTTCTAAAATTATTTTCTACAAAAAGATCTATTATCTAAAGAGTTATTTTTGCCCGTTTCATAAAAGTACCCTTAAATCACAAAGAAAATTGAGAAAATCTCGTCGTTTTCTGTCTTAAAAAGTAATGAATTCTGACAATTCCTTGTCTTTGCTGTACAAAACCGCAAATTACTTTTAAAGAGAGTCCACAATTGAAAATTATCAATGTTTGATGTAAGAAAAGTAAGGATATCTCCTTCAGTTTTACTCAAACAAAGGTTGAAAGGCTACTGATGTAAATCGTGCCTGTAGCTTTAAAGTTAAAGTTTAAAAAAATTAAACCTCTATCTTAAAAGTGCACCCTTCTGCATATTTTTTTTTACCCAAACTATTTTAACCGACAAGCTGTTTAAAAATATATATGATTAATATAGGCTAAGTTCAAATATTTAATGATTAGATTTCCTCATATAATTTGTCAAATTTAATTTATATTTCTTGCTGAATACAGAAAAGTTGGATAATTTAAAAATGTGCAGGGCTAAGACCAACCCTTCAGCAAAGCAGCTTCACACTGTGTTGGTCCGTGGGACCGGAGTAGATGTTACAGGGTGCATTATTCTTCTCCAGTTTTGTCCCCGGCTTACCAAAGGTGGAGGACACTTGGAACATGACAATATTGGGGAAGCTATCTATATACTAAACAAGAAACTAAAAGTAACCAGCATTATGCTTAAAGGTAAAAACAAATATTTTTTTTGTCGAAAATTTATCTTAATTTATTTTAATTATTTCAGAACTAATTGATGCTGAGATTGACGAGCAGAAAGAAGCTGTCTTCTCACAAATAATTTGTAAACTTGAATCTTTAAAAACCAGTGGAAAGTGTCTAACCCGAATCCAAAGCCTGTTCTCCCCTAACAACTCCATATCTGAACTTTATCTTGATTTCTTACATCAAGATTTTCGGTCAGATCTCATTTCATTTCTTGGGATTTATCCAGGAGCTAATTTGAAAGTGTTAGAAATTAGAAATATGGATGATCCTCTAGAGATTGATATCATCAGTGAGGAATGTTCGAACCTTGTGAACTTAAGAATGATGCTGTGCGGGGTTATGGGAAATAGTCATACGCAGACAAACAGTCATTTTCCCAAGTTAACCAAGTTAAATATGAGAACTTCAAACCCTGAAACCATGCTCTCGTTCATGAGAAACAATGTAAGTGTGAGAGACCTGAAAATATCTTGCCCAAACGAAGGCAAGTCAAAGTTTACAGATGTTTTTATTCAAACAGTCTGTGGATTCAAAGGCTTTCTGCCGGCTTTAAAAACTTTAAGATTTTCCTCTAAATTTTCGTTTGGATTTACATCTGCACAAAAGCTTATTGAAAGTCTAATATCTTTAGAGTATATAGGACCATTGGAAATGTTAACAAAACTTTCAAAACCAGATGTTAATGATCTGGTAAACTGGGTGAAGGAAAACAACTGGAATGTGATTCTTGGGTATAAGGGAGCTCAATATAATGTGTTTAACATTGACCAAAGTGATCCATGGAAGCATAAATATATTCCGGACAAGGGAAGAATTCCAGTGAAAAAGGAAAAGTCAGTTTATAAAAGAACATTGTCTGTACCCACTGGGTTATCTGATGACGAGGATGAGATATCATTTTTCAGTGACGGAAGGAAAAGATCAAGAACTAACTCTGTATTTCTTTCTCCGTCGCAATGTTCAGTTAGAAAATCTGGAAGCTTAATATCCCTCAAGAAATCAAATGGATCAAATCGAACATCTGTCAATCTTGAAAATGAAGAATTTGAATTTGAATTTGCAATGGATTCAGATGGGTTTATCAAAAATAAGGATTACAAGCTGTATAATCATCAGATTGCTCAGTTTGAAAATGACGAGGACTATGATGATTATGATGAGTTTGATGAAGATACAATGGATGTTGAAGATTTACCAGAGGATGCTGAATTTGAGTGGTGCTGGGGAGAAGATGGAAATCTCAAAATTTATGAGATTGACAAAACTGGAAAAGAGGAAGACACTGAAGAAGGTGCAAATGGTTCAATACTTACCAAAGAAGAACAATCATTTCTTGGAAATAAAGAATATGAGTTCTCTTTGGAAGGAAATGTTATTTTACCTGAGCATAACAAAGAAGATTATAAATTAGAAGAACCTATTGATGAAAAAATGGATTCAACAACTTTTAGTAAGGTGCAAAGCAAAGAAGCTGTTATTGAAACACCTGTCCCCGAAATAAAGGAAACCCCTGCAAATCCAGAAATAGATGCTGTTTCATCACATGACCCTGTAACCATATCAAGATCAAAATCTTATTCTGCTACTCAAACAAAATCTAGGAGTAAAGTCAAGTCTCCTTCCCTTCTGTCGAGCAAGGAAGAAACAGAAGTTAGCACATCTAGCAGAAGAGCAAAGAAAAGATATGCTCCACTGTCTCCGCCTCCTGTTATTGAAGATAAACTTATCTCTCAAAATGAGACAGCTCCTGTTAGCTCTGCTTCCAAGTCCCTTAATGGAATCACAGAAAGCCGTTCTTCTTTGATACCACCAAAAGCTGCAAAGTCTGATGCAGAATCCAATAAAATGGGGAAAATTTCAAGTATTTTCCAGAAGAGTGATCCTGGTAAGTTGACAACCAACATTAAACCCAATTCCATCAACGTAAATAATGTCTCAAATACATCAAACAGCTCAATAGGTGGTGAGCTGTTAAAAAAGGCACCTGTTCTCTTGGCTCCTATAAAAACTCAGGTGATTGAAGTTTTTGAATATGACCCACTTTTAGGCTATTGCACTGTGAAACGTAAAACAGTTCCCATAGATGAAAAGGAAACTTTGTCAGAACCCTCAAAATCTATCAATATTTCATATCTTAAGACTTCCGATTCAGAAAATCCTACACAAGAAATTAGCCCTAATGATAATTCTGAAAACATGGCACAACAATCATTAACTGTAACTGATACAATTGGTAAAACAAAATCTATCTTGTCACAGTCTACTCCATCTCCAGCAATGGATGATTTAATATCTCCAGTAGCATCTTTGTCTCAAAAAGCTGAAAGCAATCCATCAAGCAATACATCATCAAAAGAAAATAAAGTTCCAAACAAGTCACCCAGCAAGAAATCTAGTATAGAAACTGAACCCTCCAAGCCACTGATCCCTATGTCTAGTATGTCCAAATATGACATTCCATTCCTCGGTGTGCTCTTTGCTGCCAACAATGGGAAATCAATTCCAGGTCCTCCAAAATGCAAACCTCCAAGCCTGCCTCCTAATATAGAAAAAGCACTACCCAAACTAAGTCGCCCAGCGCCTGAAGAAACTCCAAAGATTAGTAGTGAACCAAAACCCCAACCTAAACTGGATATCAAAGTTGAACTTGTCAAAGAAAAAGATACAGTGATTAATGTCACAATTCCAAAACCTGAAAAGCATGCACAGAAACATAAGAGCAGTAAACCGGAAGAAGCCAAGGAATGGTATTGGGACTATGAAGAAAACTGTTGGAAAGAATGTGATCCAGAAGAAGAATATGAATGGGAGTATATAGAATCAGATGAGGAAAAAGAAAAGGAACCTGTTCAGCATGAAGTTATTGTTTTGCCAAGAAAGACAAATTCAGTTCAAAATGAAGAAAGCATCATAAGTAAAAATGTCTGCAGCACCCCAGGAACAGAAAAAGATAATTCTAAACTACCTGACTTGCAAAAGGACGCAAGTAAGACAATTTATTTTAAATTATTCTCAAATTTACTACTTTTCATCAGTTTTTGAATAAAGTCTTTGTCTTAGGGAATGAGAAAAAGCATTATGGATCCCAAGATTTGCTGAATGTGTCAGAAGATGAGGAGGAGCTAAGTCCATTATTGTCTGATGCTTATGACAAGGATCTTGAAACGGTAAAAATTATGAATGATGTGCTCTTACTGAGGAATCAATTAGTTTTAAGGATATACATGCTTTCCTTGAAAAGACTTCCCGCCTCAGTCATACATTTTTTCTTTTTTTCTTTTTTGATTTAGAGATTAACAGCAGCACAATGCATTTATGTATACTAACCATGAATCAAATTCTGCACACCATTCAGTATCTGTTTTTAGGACCGTAAACATGCTAGTAGATGGGGAAAAAGCAGAAAAAGAAGCGGAAAGCTGGCTCGACAAACAACTGTTGAAGATGATGTCAGTGAGTCCCTTTCTGTCAGTCAGGAAGATCTGTTGGATCATTCATCACCCAGAAGAAGAAAGAAGGGGGTTGTAGATCCTCCACCTAAACATTCCTTATACGATTTATCATATTTTGATGATGAACCCGTGTCGGCCTTGGAAGTTAGTCAAAGAGCAAGAAGAAGGAGGAAAGATACTGAGGAGGAGAAGGAAACAAGAATACAGGAGGAAAAACAAAAAGAGCCAAAAGCTAGCCAAGATGATTTATCAAGAAAAGACAAAATGGATGCTCAGATGAAACGAAGAAACACTGGCAAGAAAATGGATGGAGAGAAGGCAAGAGTATCTGCGACTAAGCTTGAAAAAGCACCAACAACCAAGCAAGAAAAGAAGTCTGAAATAAGAAAGCGTGACCAAGATCGAGGAAGTGATATGGAATCTACCAATCATTTCAAGTCCAATATCCAAGATTCAGATGAGCCTGCTGAAGATGAACCAGATGAAAAGAATGTAACTTTCTGCATGTGGGGTCATGAAAATTGTCGCACAAGATCTCACTACCGGTACAACTGGCAATGGGATTATGTGCAGAAATATGCTGACCAGCACAATAAGAACATGATCCAAGGCTATCAACCTAGAGAGGAAAGATCATCAAGGCCTGCAGAGGAACAGCCACAAGATATTAAGGATAAGAAGCCAAGCAAGGATGGTATAAAGATAAGATTGCAGATGCTTCAAAATAAGTTTTCAAGTGGGAAGACAAGTACCTCGGTTAAGCTGAACCAGTTTGAAAGAGATCTTGAGCTTGAAATGTTGAGACGAAAGAAAAATTACAAATATTGAAAATGATTTAATATTTTTTATAATTCAGAAAGTTGTATATTCAAATAAATATTTAACCTGTCATATTTTTACACAAGCCAAATAAATATTGTATATTGAAGGTAAAAAGTGTTTGCGGCGCAAATTGAATCAAATAATCTAAAACTTTTCATAAATTCTGTCAACGTTATTTTTAATTCTGCATCCTTGAAATATTTATTTGAATCATTCGCCAAAACACATTAACATCGTCTCACCAGATTTTATAAAATATTCTCAGATTTAAATTTTCCCTCTTTTCTACCTCTCAAATTGTACTTTTGATGACCTGACACTTTCAAGCTTATCATCTTAATCAATGATCAAGTTGATTAGCTTCAGACCAGAGATGCATTTAATCCAGGGGGAGATGATAGTTCTCTACCTGTGTGCTCAGTTAGCTGTACTGTACACTTACAACTGTTTACCAATATTAATATAGCTTTCTTTTTCTTTGCAAGAGCAAATCTGTTCCTTGAGAAAAGTTACTTTTTTGTTCTATTCTTCTTAAATTGTATTTTTTTTATTTTTAAAAAGTTTGTTATTACATGATCATTTTTTTTGTTCATGAAAATTTATCAAAGGTTTTAAAAAATATTATCAAAGTTTTTTAAAAATATCATTAAAGTTTTATGAAATTTTAACAAAGTTTCTTTTAAAAAAATCCAACAACGATTTAAACAATTTCAAACAATTAAATTAAATTTGGCGCAGCTCACTCCTTTTTAACACTATCATTAGATTTTTCAGTCAAAACAATTTCCTTCACCTGGGCCAAAGGCTCAAAAGTGTCAAAACATTGCTCAGAATTGCGCTTTATAACTAGTTGCAGTGGATTTCCCCGACATGGCGAAAATTACATGGGAGAAATTTTATTCGTGTTATTCCATTTGTCTTTTTAATTTATTTGGCCGCGGGGAAATTTGAAATTGAGAAAATCTCTTTTGTTGTTCTTGTTTTCAAATCATTAAATACAAATATAATGAAAGGTTGACAAATTGATTTTAATGACCTGTCAAAAATGTAATTTAATGAAACTTTTCAAATCTGTTTTTTTAAGACATAATCAAAGTTGTAGTTGGAATGATTACAATCAGATGTGATACATTTAAAACAAAAATCATTATTAATTCTTAAAAGCAAAACCCTTAAATCAGAACGGGAAAGGAAATACAGGTTTAAATCAAGCATGACTTAAAAGCTCTGTAATCTTCTTTGTATCCTAAAAACTGGATTAGACATTGAAGGTTTTATTGAAAAATTGAAATCTAAATAAAAAGGTTTGATATCTCCGGTAGTTTTAAGAGGAGAAAAATGGCAGACCACATTTTTCAAATCCCAAGACCATTTTGATTATGGTTTTAAGTTAGATGTACGAATGAATTATTAATTATAATCATCATGTTAGTGGGATACATTGTAATCAACAATGACACTTTTTTTTATAAAGCCGTAGATGTATTTATTTAACACATAAAATTCTTATTTCAATTGTGATGTAATAGTATAAACGTTTTGAATTATTTTAATTGACTTAAACGTGACAAAATGCAGTTTGATCCGACAACTGATTGTGCAAAAAAAAATATTGTTGCAACACTTTAAAAACGCTAGCCTTGACAATTGTAAAAACAAATATTGTTGCAACACTTTAATAACGCTAGCCTTGACAATTGTAAAAACAAATATTGTTGCAACACTTTAATAACGCTAGCCTTGACAATTGTAAAAAATTGTAAAAAAAGAAGAAAATTTTCACTTTTATTGGATTGAGAAACTCGATTTTTAACTGCGCAGTTTTTTATAAAACAAAACAATATTACTTATATATTCATTTACTTTTCTTAAGTAAATTTTACATATGATTGAATTTTTTATCACGACTGTATTTTTTGAAGAGTTCTTGAGAAGAACAATTTTCTTAAAATTTTGTACTTTTGCCATTTTATACTAGGTATAACATAGATTTAGCCTGCTCATAAATTTTTAATACAGGGTCGACTTTGAAGTTTGTTTGTGTAGTTTGTAGAGCACTGTGCACACAGAACTAAAATTGTTAAAATCACGAAACCTCTATTATATCTATTTATAAAAATGTATATAGAAAATGCGCACAAGGGTTGTTAAATATTAGGAAGAAACTGCAAGTTGTTTTGACTTGAAGAAACAACTGCAAATCATGCAGACCATGCATGCTGCACATCATGCACAACATGCAGATTTCTATGCACATTGCACACTATAGCTTATATAGTAGATTATACCGTACTCTTAAAACTTTATCCAGAACTGTATCAGTCCAGGTACAATCCGTTCGCTATGAATATCAAACAGGACACGATCCACACGGCTACAATCCCGTGAACTATCAACGCCACTACCACTGGGCGCGATCTCGTTAGCTATCGGTGTCAATACAGACACTAGCAATTATACTATTAATGTCTCAACCAGGACACAATCCACACGGCTACAATCCTGTGAACTCTCAACGCCACTATAACCACTGGGCGATCTCTATCAATGCCCAATCTCAAGGCAGGATCTCGTATGTTTCAACAAAAACCAAATTACTCTTAACACGGTAATCAAAGTTAATCACATTCACAGCTAGTTAAAATAGACGCAATTAAGATATGTGTCAATTATATATCACATGATAAAGCTAATCATGCTACGTATTCATTTGAAGCGCAGTTCAAATGAATAATGGTTTTTACATAGAAGTTTACAAATATAGATATTTAATCACATCATTTTTAATACAAGGGCTTAAAAAATAATGTTGAACAGATAATGCTAGATCAAACTCAATGATTTTTTTCTTGTGCGTTTAGGGGTAGGACGCAAATTCAAATGATGATTCAAAGGTTTTTGGAAGGTTTACGGATCCTATGTGTTGGCATTTTAAAAAAATCTACGAATTCCATAAAAACAGAAAAAAAAGATTCTTAATTAAAATTTAAGAAGTGTATTCCAACCCCCTCTTCTTTAATCACCAACAATATAAAATAGAATATTAAAACTATTGTTTTTCTAATGAAAAATTAATTTTTCCATTAAATATTTGTAAGAAATCATCTCAGCCGGGCCTAATAAGGTTCCCTTTTTTGGGGGAAATTATTTTGTAACACCCCTGATTCTGGACTATATGGAGGCAGAAAAAGGGTTTTCCATTATATTGAGCCACACCTTGGGTTAGGTCAACAGCTTTAAATATTTATACTCTTGTTGAAGAGAGAGGTGGG